CCTTTATAAACTAGTTAACTACTCGGCTGATGCTGTTACAGGCATTGAAACCAGAAGACTTTAGTCCGCTTTTAACTGGTATAAAACTAGTATAATTCTGTTCGAAAACTGATAATTACCAAACCGTAAAACATCTCCGTGTTAGAGACAAAATTTGCACCATTTGCTTTGTTTACTTGCTTCGAAGGGATTGTTTACTAGTTCCTTTGATTGCTGGGTACCCAGTGATATGTAAGTATGTATGTATGAATATCGCAAAAACAAATAATTATTGCACTTATGGTGCTAGCATACGTAATTAGATATTCATATAGTCGGACATTCCAGTACTTACATACATACATAAATATGTATGCGCTTATAATTTATAAATATTGGCTGGAATATAAATTCCAAATGTGGAAAACCTGAAACGTCATACTCGTAGGCTGAGAAAGTAAAGCAATGAGCGCAGTAGTTTGGGAGAGAGCTTCCGTATATCCGTATGTTTCTCAGCGTGAACTTTTACGAATTTTTATAAGGCACGGAATACACATTCAATTCTCATTTACACTCATCTTTAGTTCCGTTATTGAAGCCAAGAAACAGAACAGAAGAACAGTCTTGGTTACTATACCGGCCATTAATAAATAAGCAAGGTATTTTGAGTTAAAAATTATACTTAATTAGTAAAATTCTTGTGTTGGCAAAGTAGATATTTTATTTTTGGATGCCCTGCTACAGATAAATCGAATTAACTGAAGGATTTTTTCGCAAATTAAGACTTTATTGTAAAAAAATTGTTATACATTTAATGTTCAAAGTATTGCCCGTCGAAAGCAACGATGCTTGACCGTCTTTCTGGCAGTTTGTGGAACTTCTCCGGCTTGGAGTTCAAAAAGAACTGAGTCAATTTCTGATACCCTGTTCTGAAGTGGAACGTACTCCGGTGAGGGCATTCTGCATTGATCTGAACAAGTGGTAATCGGAAGGTGCTGTGTCTGGGCTACAAGGCGGGTCAAGTAGAACTTCCCACCCACAGTTTTCTGAATAGTTTTTAACTGGCCTTGCAACATGTGGCCGAGCGTCGTCATGATGAAAAATTATTGATTCGTGTCTGGTCGCAAATTCTGGGCGTTTTTCAAACGAATCAATTGTTTTCGGTAGAGGTGCCCATTGACTGTCTGACTCGATTTCAATAGCTCATAATAGAGCACACCCTTGTGGTCCCACCATATACATAGCATAACCTTGGCAACATGGATATTCGGCCTTACCGTGGATGTCGATGGTTGGCCGCGCTTCACATATGATCTCTTGCGCTTTGAGTTATCATAATGATTCCATTTTTCATAGCCAGTGACAATCCGATGCAAAAATTACTTCTTTTGGTGACGTTGAAGCAACATTTCCGACATGCAGAATCGACTTTCGACGTCTCTTGCCTTTAATTCATAAGGCACCCAATTTTCAAGCTTCTGGATGAGTCCACGATGATTTTAATCGTCTGGAAACGATTGTTTGATCAACTTCTAATACTCTTGCAAGTTCTTCTTGCGTCTGGCATGCATCTGCGTCGAGCAATAACTCCAATTCTTCGTCTTGAAATTTTTTTGACTGTCCGTCGTCTAAGTCGAAATTTTAAACCGCGCAAACTACTTTTGGCACGCTCGTTAGGCTAAAGCATTATCACCATAAACGTCCAGTAAAATACGATGCCTCTCTGTAGCACTTTTCTTCATATTAAAGCAATGAAGAAAAACTCTCCGCAAAAACACTTTATCTGGTCCATATTTCGACATTTTTTTTTTTTTATTGAATATTTTTTTTGAATATAGCCAGAGATGAACACAATGCGAAATAGTACTAGTAGAGCCCTCTCTTAGAAAACCGCACGAACTAATGCAAATACACAATAAATTTTTGAAGAAATATGAACCAGCGATGCCATTTGCTTAAAGAGGACACAACACAGTGACTGTTTTAGGCTGTAAAGGTGTCTCAACACTGGCTTGTGGACTATCATCACTCTGTATGCGACAATTTTGTTTATTAACTTACCCATCCAAGAAAAAAAAATAAGCTTCTTCGCTGAACATAAGTTTCTTGTGAATATCGTCACCGGTAGCCATCTCGTTTAGTTGAAGTTGGGTTTTTTAAGCCCGCAAACCAAGACTTTCTCGCGTAGATGGACACAGCTTCAATTGTTATATCATTCAATACTCTGCTCCACGGCAGCAATAGCTTCGCCGGTGCGCTCAGTACGGCATCTCTGAGGATGCGAATTTCCGACTAGAGTAAACGTGCTGCGAAACCATGGTGATTACTTTGACAAAAAGAATGCATTGGAAGAAATGGTATGGATTTGAAGAATGACCCTCGCTGAGTCCAAAGAAATCTAAATTTTTGTTGAATAATTACCGATATTTGACTGAATAGTTGAGATGGTAGAGATCTAGCTTGTCAGCTACCCATGATCGCTAAATTGATTAGGTCTCTTGGTAATACCACCTGAATGATTTCTTCTTTTGACGTCATTAAACTACAGAAGATATCGGCTAACGTAATCCGTCCTGAATTCTGATCAATTGATATTTTGGAGTTCCAGATTTACAGTAGTTGACGTGAAAATACAAATGATCCCTAAGTCAAACAGACAATGCTATTTATATTTCGAACAAATTTAATACCAAGCGAACCATGATTAAAAAAAACCTAATCACATCTCGTAAAAAAAATGTTCAAGCAAAAAAACAAACTATTCAAAGCAAATCGAACCAAAAATACGATTCACCGAATAGGTCAGTCTATGGTCCACTTCCCGAAAGAGTAGTAGCCTTTTTGTTAATCGATGCAAAAAGCCACTCAAAGAAATCGGATTCTAAATGCATTTATTCGAATATTTCGGTCCTTGGTCCGGTTCTAGATGAGACCACTTATTTCAAGCGATTCAAACCAAAAATAACATTTTTTTCGAAAAGGTCAGTCCGAATCCACTTCAAGAAGTTTGTTTTTGTGTAAACCTTCCCTTCTGACTAAATTTCAATCCAATCGATCAGCAACTTATATTGTACATATAAATAAAATATAATACTAGGTCAAGTAAAAAGTTCGTTCGGTTTTTGTCTAAGAGATGGCGTTATTGTCCATAGTACTAGTGTAACGTGTCGGATCATGCCATACTATACGGCACTAAAAACGTATTTATTCGCGCTAAAAGTTTGTCTTTGACAAAATTAATTGAAAAAATGGGCCCGATACTCTAAACGAACGTGAAGTACAACAGTGGTTTGCTTGGTTCCGTTCCGGTATATCGATATCAAAAATGCACCTGGTTTCGCTGTGAATTTGGTGGGATTGGCAAGGAATCATCTACTACAAGCTGCTACCTTATGGCCAAACGCTCAAGTTGGCCCTCCAGTGCCAACAAATGGACTGCTTGAAGGCAGCACTCATCCAGAAGGGGCCATCTTTGATCAACAGAGGCCGAAATGTGCTCCTACAGGACAACGCCAGGCCACACACGTCTTTGGTGATGCGCCAGAAGCTCCACGAGCTCGTATGGGAGCTCCTAATGCACCCGTCTTATAGTCCGGACCTGACACCATATGATTACTATCTTTTCCTGTCTATGGCAAACGCGCTTAATGGTGAGAAGTTGGCCTCAAGAGAGGCCTTACCGAGAGGGGTATAATGAAGTTGGCATGTCGCTGGAAATAAGTTTGCGAACGAAACAGCGCATATTTGACTTAAATCGGACTAATGTATACAAAGTTAACATATTTTGAAAAATCAATAAAAAAAAACCAAACGAACTTTTTACCATTATAATAATTATAAATTTTAATAAAATGTTTTAAAACAAAAAAACTAATAAGAAAGAAAAAATAAAGAATAACAAAAAATAAAATGAAGAAAAATTTTAATAATAAATAAAAAAATAACAAACAAAAAAATCATTAAATAAGTAAGTCGGTTAATTGATTGGTTTAAATAAAAAATAAAAATAGAGAAGTACGAAACTATTTTTTTTTTAATTTTTTGCCTTGTAATACCTATTTTTATAGCATATTTACTTATTATTTAATGTTTATTTAAATTATTTCTTCTCCTTACTTATGTACTTCTCTAATCCTATTTTTTTTAATCATTTAAATAATTTACTTATCAAATAGTTTTTTTTTCTTGATTTTTTTATTTATTTTTAATTGATTTATTTCCTTATTATATTTATTATATTTATATAATATTTTTCATTTTTTTCTTATTAATTTTTTTTTGTAAAAAATTAATAAAAATTTTGGGGTTTAGTATGAAGCTATCTGAGACTAACTATAAAGTTCTACCGTCCAAACTGTTGTTGCAACTTTTTCACTAATCCAAAAAGAAAAAAAAACAGACAAAAAAATTTAGATGGAACTGAGTGAGATATTAATTTTTCGCCTTTAGGTGGGAAACAGTAACAGGTAGAATCAACAGAGTAAAATTCTAGATCCATAAATGTGTACGAGTATTTTTAACGGTGTTTTTAAAAGTAGAACATAACAAAACTCAAAACTCACTGAAATTTAAAGAAATAAACTTTTACATCTACTTTCCAGTGCTTCTAATCAATTTTAAAATATACTAAAATTAAATATTTGCAAAAAGAACAAAAAATAATAACAATAATAATCACACGCCAAGCGTGTTTTACGATAAATCAGTTACTTTTTTTATACAATTTTTTTCTTTGCGAGCGAACGATAAGTGAATTTGTGTTGAAAATTAATGAAAGCAAAAACAGCTAATTATATCAAACAGCAGAAAAAAATTATAATTAATTTATAAGCAGAATCGTAACGTATGTATTGCTGTATGTATGTGTGTAAACATAATAAAATTATTTGAAACTAATCTGCATTCAACAGAAGTAATCATTTTGTTTCCCGCTGTGCTGCCTTCATAGCCCCCCATGCAAACAGAAGCGAAGAAGCGCGAGCGCGAAAGCTTTAAGTGTTCAACTGGCGGCAGCAGCTGGAGCCGGTAGCTCACACGCAAATCGCTGAAGCGAAACACAACGCCGCTCGCGCAACAGATCGCCAGTTAATGTTTGACATTCGCCGTTAAAACACTTGACGAGCAATACGCACACTTAACAAAACGGATTATTGAAACGAGTTCGGCGATATACGCTTAGAAAACACTTTGCGCTATGCGTTCGCGTGCTATGATATTCGAAACAAATTCTATTAGCGTCAGAGTAGTTAAACTACTTTTTGTTTTTGTGCTCATCACCGGTGCGTTGCTCTGCTGCGATGCGTCCGCGTCGTCTTCACAGACAGCAAGTGTTCGTGGTAAACGCGTGAAACGCATTGTGGGTGGACGCCAATCGAAAGCGCCACCACCTGACGATCCGGTCGTGTTTACGCGCACATTTAATCGCGATGCGCGCGTCGAGGGTTTTCGCAATGAACGCACTGGCATCTATACCTTTCTTGGCATGTTTTACGCCGAGCCGCCAATTGGTCTATTGCGTTATGCGCGTCCGGTGTATAAACGTATGGCGGGTGATATAAATGCGACGCGTTTTGGACAACCATGCATACAACCCGATCCGTATAGTCCCAGTCGCATAGTGGGTAATGAGAACTGTTTGTTACTCAACATCTACACACCACGCATGCCGGACGAGACGACTGGTCTACCCGTTTACGTATGGATACATCCCGGTGGCTTTCGTTATGGCTCTGCAGCGCAATATGATGCCACGCCTATAGCACAACAGGGCATCATTGTTGTAGCGCCACAATATCGTCTTGGCTCTTTGGGCATAATGGGTGATGGCACTAAGGAGTTCGATGGTAATTTGGCTATCTTCGATATGGCTGCCGCCCTGCGTTGGGTTAACGACTACATTCATCATTTTGGTGGCGATCCGAAGCAGGTCAAGGTTATTGGTCATGGTTCGGGCGCTGCGAGCGCAATGTACTTATCAATGTCACGTTCGGCGCGTAGTGCGAGCGATGTGTCGGGTGTGGTGGCAATGTCGGGCACCGCGCTGTCGCAATACGCAACTGATAAGCAGCCGGTGCAGAGTGTCGAGGAGGTGGCGAGCATTAATGGTTGTCCCACGACCAACGAGTTGGAGATTGTGCAGTGTTTGAGAGAGGTATACAAAGATTCATACGTATGTAGTATAAAGTGTGGCTAGGTGATTTAGCTAGAGAAGCTCTGTCTATATGAAAAAGGTTGAGGCAAGGCCCTGGTGGGAAGGAAATAAAGTAAATAAATGAAGGAGGAAGATATTGAAGGAGCTAAGTCTGAGACATCTTGCCTTATCTGACTTGTTCAGTGGTAATTCAGTGGAAGATGGAAGTTGGTATATTGAGATCTCGATATGTTTTATATTAGTCAACCAAGCCTAGGTATGGCATATAAGAGACCGGAAATCCGCCACTGATATCCACGTGTAAAAGAACACACACTTTAAGCAACTTTTGTCGAAACTCTTTATGGACTTACAATATGCTTCGAAATTTTCAGAAAACTGCCGAGGAAATCATACAAAATGACTCCAAAGTTCAAACGGAACGCCTTGCTGGACGCGCCATAATCAAAGGTCTCTCGGGCAATGTGGGTTTCACGCCACACAGCGAGGGTGAGAATGATGGACGTGGACTGCCCAGCTTAATTGTCGGCGAACCGGAGCAACAGTTGCGCAGCGGTAACTTCACGCCAATACCGTTGCTGACGGGTGTTACAAAACATGAGACCGCAAATGCTATTAGCATCAATACGCTCAACAAGATATTCGGTTCGGCTGAAAAATTCCTTAATTCGCTAACCGATGCATTAAAAGATCTAACAGGGTTCCTACGCATCGATAGTGTTACGGGTGAGGTACTTAAACCCGTTCTACCCGGCCTGACTTCGGCTTTAACGCCCACACTCAACGATCTGTTGAAAGTGCCAGAGACATTGAATTTAGATCAAGTGCTGTCGAAGGTATTTGATAGTAAAATATTTTAATTTAAATTTTCTCAATTGCACTCTCTCTCTCTCTTTCGATTTGCAGGTCGTTGAAACCACCACCGACATACTCTTCAATCTGCCCGCTGTGCTAACTACACAGGTGTGGTCTCAGCTTGCGCCCTCCTTCATGTACAGTTTCGAATACAATGGCACACGTTCGAAGGGCGTAAACTTCTTACGTGGGCTGCCGATCGTTTCCGAGCAATCGGCCAATAGCAATCCCGAGTTGGTGGCGCATGGTGATGAGCTCGGTTATATGTTCGATGCAAATGATCTCTTTGGTAATCCCATACCGGATGCGCAGTTAGTTGACGAAGAGGACTTGAAAGTGCGGGACAATTTGATAGGCATGTTGGTGAAATTCGCAAAATCTTTTGGTAAGGAGAATAATAAGCAAGATGCCGCGAAGGACTCGCTCTTCCAAAGTGTCACCGGCAAGGGCGTACCGTTTATAAAAGTCGATACGGAGATTAGCGCTGATAGTGATTTCCGTTTTTGTGAACTCTCCGTTTTGGGCGCTTCACTCACCCCGCTCACCTCAACCACATGCCAAGGTTTAGGTAGTGTGCTCTCACCACTAACCGATGTTGTTGGTGGCACACTTGGGGGTTTAAGTGGTGGTGTTGTTAATGGCGGTACGGTGGACGGTCTTGGTGATACGCTGGGTGGCGTACTTGGTGGTGGAGGCGGAGGTAGACCTAGTCGGCGTAATCAAGGCGGACAGTCAGGTGGTGGCGGCGGCGGTGGTGGTTTACTGGGTAGTGGTGGTTTGCTGGGCTGAAAGCATTTGATTGTATTGGAATTTTATTGTTGGATGATTTAATTGGATAAATAAAAATAAATGACAAAAATAATATGTTATTTTCGAATTTCTTTTACAATCTGTTCTGGAGCGGAAAACAGATGGTGGTTTCGGATCTTGATGTTTTTTCAATAAATTAAGGGGCCTAAAGCTTCTATTAAGCCGCCTCCGAATGGCTGATGGGTTTTTATTTACAAGGAGGTTTTATTTCATGTCCGAAAAACTCTTGGGTTGACGTTGCCTGCCGAGGGGCGAATTAGAAAATTTAATTTAATTTTTTATTTAAATCTATTTTCCATAACTTTATGGATGTTAATGGTGGCCGTTAACGTATACCTTATTTAAAAGTCTTTTGATTGTCTACTCGTATGTCGAATTAAGAAGAACTTTCGAAGTTATTGCCTAACGAACGAACCTAAGGAGAAGGAGTACCACTCGAGTAGAGCACACCCAAGTCCATTCTTCAGTGTTTTCGTGTTCCTACAGACTTGTGTATTTGTATTGTATATTTAGTGAGTCAGACGTTTGATATGAGAGATCGCGCCCATCTAAAACTTTGAAACATGATTTCCGTTGACAGAAAGTTGGTCGTCGTGGTTCCAATACTATCGATCCAAAACTAGGTTTCGGATCACTTAAGTTGTTAGTCAAGGGCTTAGGGTTTTCTTTTATTTTTTACAATTTCATTTTATTTTATTTTGTTTTATTTTCTTTTATTTTATTTAATTTTATTTTATTTAATTTTATTTTATTTTATTTTATTTTGTTTTATTTTACTTAATTTAAGCCAATTTTATTTTATATTATTTTATATTTTCATTTTTACCTTTATTTTTTAATTTGTTTTATTTCATTTGATTTTATTTTTTTTTATTTTATTTTATTTTATTTTATTTTATTTTATTTTATTTTATTTTATTTTATCTTATATTATTTTATTTTATTTTATTTTATTTTATTTATTTTATTTGAGTTTATTTTATTTAATTTAATTTAAGTTAATTTAATTTTATTTTACATTTTCGTTTTTTTCATTTATTTCTTAATTTGTATTATTTAATTTGATTTTATTTTTTTTTATTTAATGTGTTCTTGTTTCTATATACTTGTACATTTGTATTTGAAGAAAAAATATTTAGTGATTTAAGCCAGAAGTTTGATATCAGAGAGTGCGCATATCTAAAACACACGTACATATTTTCCAAGGTGCGTCATATTCGCAGTTTTCAGGTTTCAGGATCTTTCTTCTCTACAACACCGATCAACCGCTCTGCATGTCTACACTACTCTAGTCACATTACAGAAGTTTAAACTCCCCCAACCTCGAGTTAGCATCTGCAAATGGAGAGCAGAATAATGGATAGTCCCAAAACCTGGTGTGTTACTATGTACCAGCACCCATACTAAATTCAAATAGAACTGAAATACCAATTATGAAGAGGACTATTAAACCGAGATTATTAACAGTCTCATGTATGAGCGCCAGTTTCACTTAAAACAAAACACTACAGTGTTTCGGTAGCCAGAAGGCCCCGCTTATCCCAAGTTTCTTTGAGAACATACCACTACCAACCTGTTTAAAACTGGATTGAGTTTGCATAGGCTAAATTACGCTTGTACTATTGGTTGTCATTCGGAAAACCCGCTTGTAGTCGTTTGTGAAGACAATGAAGGTTATGTCCTTGTGGTCCTTCAATTCTTGCAAACAAAACTTTCTTAGCATATTAGTTTGACCGAGGCTTGGTAGCTTTTATTCAAAGATCTCGTTTGCGTGAGCTGCACTATGCATTCCTTTAACGAAAATGAAGAGTAGAGCTAAGAGGATATTACTTGCTTCCAAGGGTGTGGTCCGTAATGCTCCACTTATACATGGAATTCTCGGGTGGCCTGCTTTTCGAATTTTCCATATTGGCTGCTATTACTGTCCTTGTCGGGTCCGATAACCTTCTTATAGATTCATCACGAAAGAGGTGAAAACGACAAGGATGTACTCTATCGCTACCGTCCAACTTTCGTAGTTGATGAGAGCATAAGAGTTATTGAGAGTACTTTGCTAAGCCTAATATTCTATGACGATGGCTCTAATGCCACTCCAAAAGTTTCTCTTTGCGAGTTAAGAAGGTCGAAATATATTTTTTAGTTTCTTTCCACGGCTAGAGGTATCCATATTTCGTGCCTCGATATGTCATCCAGTTTCATTCCATTTAGGGAGTTTCAATTTGAAAAGTTCAAATCCTTCTTCTTCATCTTGACACTTTTTGCATGGCAGCGATACCGAATATCTATGTGACCGTCAGAGAGATGTTACTTTGTACTATGATTATTGCCGATTAGATTACATCCAAAACAAGATATCTTCCAACAAATATTAGACATTTTAGAGGAGATCGGACGCATACCAGACCAATAATAATGATAAAAAATGAAAACAATTTGTGGTAAATATCATAAACAACGAAAGGTGACAGTCAAGTTGAAAATAATTAGTGAAGCGAGACATTATCCGAACAAAGAGACCGCCACCAAAAACTTACGCGCTTAGTTTACCCAAATAATTTTCATCGCAAAGTTCAAACAAAGGGGAAAAAATAATATTTTACACTTGAAAATACAAATAACCATGTGGAATGTGCACGGAGGGAAAACCAGGGTATCTGCTGCCTGACAGCGCTCTAATCTTTAGGTAAACAGCAATGGAAGTCACAATCAACCAATGTTGATGGTTGCCAATCACAATGGAATGTGAACGAGAACGAGAGCGAGAGAGAGGTAGAGAACAGAGGGGAAAGAGTGCAAATATTGTTGTTGGTAACAAAGTCAATGTCTATGCGGCTGTCGCAGTCCCTGCTGTCGGTTATGTGAGAGGATGAAAAAGAAAAAAAAAAAAACTTTGGTGGCTTTGGTGTCACCATTGTTGCCATTGTGGGCTGAAGCCAAACGTTGTTGAAGCCAATTTAAGCTTGCCAAATCTATAAGGCAAACAAAACGGATGAAAATAGAAAAGTTTGGCTTGCGTGCCGTTAGAGAGCACAAAGGAGGGTGACACTGTGGCTGGTGGCAGCTAAAAATTGTTGATGACATTGTTGCCTAGACACAATGAGCGACAGCACGGCGTAGTGGGTAGGTGTATGATGAGTGATTGAAAAATTTCGGTAATTTTTGTTGCCTTTTGTGGCAATAATTTGTTTAATAATGAAAAAAGAATTAAAAAAAGAAAGAAAAATAAATAACTAAAAGTAACCAAAAAAAAAACTTCAAATTTTCCTGCACCGTTAATAATCGTAATCAATATTCCTTCCAAAACCAGTCAAATGTAGTAAACATTTTTTTTTTGGTGGGTGTTTAAGGCGTGTTCGCTGCCTTCAGCATTCATTCATTTCATTTCTCCCACCTTAGCTGATTTACAGATTTGTTGAATTAAATTACTGTAAAATAAACAAATAATTGCGAGAAAATGATACAGTGATACTGCTATAACGGTACAACGAAAATAAATCAATGTGAACGAAAGTAAAAGGAGACTGATAGAATGAATACTTGGTAACCAAGAACGCAGAGCTGGAAATGAAAATGAAAATGGAAGAAGAAGAAGGACCAAATCAGTCAGTCACTGATGCCATAAGTAAGCAGATTAAGAGGCCATTGATAGCAGCTTACAATGCAGCCATTGAGCGGTGCGTACTGTGGAACAGAAAATATAATAATTTCGACAGAGAGTTAATATTCAATAACGTCGGAGGGAGTGGAAAGACTTTTGGCATGTAGCAGCGGGTGAAAAGTGGAAAGGAGTTGCTTCGTTGGTTATAGGTTGTACGCCTTAAACGTTAATCGCTTGAGTTGTTTCATAATTAATTATTGATTTGAAATATTAGCAGATTTTGTTTTACATTTGAGTAGGAAGTTTAAAAGAGGCTTAGAGGTGAATGAATGAAAGATTTTTATGATTTAAATATGTAAACAAAAGTTTAATAAATAATAAAATAGATGAATACTAAGCAAGCCTCAAACCTTTTCATCTCAAGCAAAAGAGCAACTAAAAGGTTTAAAAGAAGACATTGTTCCTTGGGATGATAATTTTTCATTTTTTTATTTTAATATATGACTTTCATTGTTTTATAAATTTGTTATTTAGCTTAGATCTCACTTTTATGGATTTAGTTTTTTGCTCCTTTAAGTAAATATAATTTCGTTTAATTTATTTTCATATGCAATTAATAAAATTTTGTTTATTTCAGTAGATTTGGTTTCTTATATTCCTTATCTTTTACTTTTATTGTTGTTTGATAAGATATATTTAGTTTTTTCTCCAACTTATTTACATTTATTTAAATTTTTTTATTTTAATTTATTTTATTTATCATTATGTTTTATTTTGCTTTATTTTATTTGATTTATTTTTAGCTTAATAATGTTTTATTCGATTGTATTTGTTTCTACATTTATTTATTTTATATTATCTTACTTTATTAAATTTAATTTAATTTATATTTAGTTCAAAAAATTAATTTTGTTTAATTTAATTTAACTTAACTATATAAAATAAATTATATTCTATTTTTTGCATTATTTTATACTTCCTCTTTTATTTTGTTATATTAGTTTTTATTTTGCTTTGCTTACCTTATTCAAATGTTATATATTTTATTTAATTCTATTTTTGAATAAATATTATATTATTTTCTCTTTTTTCATTAGATTTAATTCATTTAATATAATATATTTTTACTTAATTTAATTTTTTTAATCTTATTTTATTGTATTTTATTCCACTTTATTTGGTTTTATTTTTTTTTAGTTTCTTTTAGTTTATGTTATCTTACCTTAATTTACTTTAATTTTTCATATTTAGTTCTAATTTTGAATTTGAATTACATTATTTTAAATTTTTTTATTAAATTTATTTCGTTTTAACATATTTTGTATTATTTTATTTTAATTTATTATATTTTATTTTATTTTTTTTTTTATTTTATTTCATTATATTTTATTTTATTTTATTTTATTTTATTTTATTTTATTTTATTT